GTGTGTGTGTGTGTGTGTGTGTACTTGGCCACTCGCTGGCTCAGACTCAGGTAACAGAGGTTTTGCCACAGCTGCTTGTTCTCCTGTTGACGGAGGAATTCAGCTTCTCGCTGCCGCTCGACGTCCAGACGCACAGCCTCTCGAAGCTCCGCCTCAATACGACCCAGCTGAGAAACACAGAAACTTACTGAGTTTTAAACTCTCATCAAACACAGAGACTTAAACTGTACAACGTTCATTGAACGTCTGTCAGGATCCTTCCAGACATGACGAGTCTCTCCACGTGGTTTGGTGTCAGTGTTCACCTCCTCCAGAAGACTCCTGTTGTCCTGCAGCTTCTTCTGCTGCTCGTTCAGAGACGCCGGATCTGACAGACGCATCACTTCCTGTTTCCTCACTGGCTCCACACCTGGTTCACATGCTCCGCCCCCTCCTGACTGCCGCTGGACAATCGGAGGCAGGAAACAGGAACTGACGGAGGAAGAGAGAGTGATGAGGTCATATTTCACTTCATCATGTTGTCGAGCTGAGAGGCTAATGAGTGCACACACACACACACACACACACACACACACACACACACACACACACACACACACACTTGTTATCAGATTGATCCACACAGATTGAGTTTCCAGTTCCTCTCAGACGAAACGTTTCCATTCACGTTTATATTTGGATCCATTTTGTTTTGAATTCAGTTGCAGTGAACAAAGTTTTTTGTTTGGTGTCGTCTTCATGATTTACATGTGAACTCGATATCTTCTCTGTGAACTTAAAGCTGCAGCGAAACAGACGTCAGATCAGTTTGATTCCTCTTCATCACCTTCAAACCTGTCGCTCTTTATTTTTTCAGATATTATAAATAATAATAAATAATACAAATTCTTGAATTGTATGTTACCTTTGTTCTCTGCTGTCTGACTCCTCCTTAATCTGCGAGAGATGACGAGCTCCCATCCTGCCCTGCAACACACACACACACACACACGCACACACACACACACAGAGGATAGTGTATCAGTTAATTACATGTTCTCAGAAGAGTAAAGGAAGCTGGTAAGAGGAGAGAGAGACAATTTCCCTTGATGACAGTTACCGTGGTGACAGGACACATCTGTCTGTCAGTCCTCAGGTTGACAGGCGACACCACACACACACACACACACACACACACACACACACACACACACACACAACTGAGTACATAGAAGTTGGAGGCTGAAGAACGTTACAGCTGCTTCTGTTATAGATTTCCAACATTTACCAAATATATACAAATGAGCGGGAGGGCCGTGGATGTTATGCAATGTACTGCCCCCTTCAGGTGACGGAGGTTGTTGCTGCCTTAAGAAATGGTGCTTAGATTTGGATTTTAACTCTAATATCTATGAACACGAGGAATTTGATCAGTTTGGGGATTTATCTGATTAACTCGACTCACTTCATTCATGCTACTTATTGTGGACGTGAACAGACTTTACTGATCTGTGCATTGAAATGTATAAAATCTATAATTCAAACATTCTGAGAGCAGAAATACTCAATGATGAGTCTTCAGTTCAACAAACACACAATTCAAGCAACAAGAAGTTCGACGTAGAAATCACACTTTAAGGAACAAACGTGTTGAATTCTCATTGTTTTAAGCAGAGACAGCGTCAGAGCGATGAAGTGATAATGAAACAACTAAAGATTGAAGAAAAGGAACGAGTTAATCCATAAAGACAGAAACAGTTAAATCTCCTAAATGTGACGATACCTACGTTGTGCTGAGCGTCCATCTCCGTCCTGCTGCTTTGTGTGTCTGTGTGTTTTGTTTCCGTCCTGCAACTTTACCTCTGCAGCTGATCCGTTTGTCTCAGACACCTCATTAGTTCGGTGTTTCTGCTGCACCTCCTCCACCTGAATTAGTCATCAGTGTGTTTTCAGTGTTTGTCTGCAAGAAGCTGCTTCGTCGCTGAAGCTCAGTGGTCGATGTTTCTCGTTGTAAATGTGGAGCGAAGGAAACTAAGTTAAATTAAAACATTTATGAAAATGAAAAGTCAGGATGTGGTTATTGACCTTCATGTTTCACCACCAGGGGGCTCCAGTATTTTCCTATCACCAAAGTGAAATTAAAGAAATACGCTGCTGTAATGATGCGCGATTCCTCATGTTTACGTAAAAATTACAGAAAACTAACACTTTGATTTTCTCATTCCGAAAATCAGGATTGTAATAATTCAACTGACTGAGTTTTTCAGGTCGCAGAGTTGCAATATGACAGATGTCCACCGGGGGGGATCGCTCACTTTACCCTCACAACTAAGTTTCATGTTTATGTACAAACAAGTTTACAACAAACAGATAAATAAAGATAAACAACTTCTATAATAATCTTCCACCATTTCCACCGTCGTGGTGGTTTTCTGTCTCAGTGTAAAAAAGTTTCACACATTCTATGATGCATTTGAAACATTTATTAAACCACCAGTCACATAGAAAAGACTGTTTAACAGTTTCATCAGAACTCAGAATGCTGCCATCATCAGACCAAGGTTGGTACTGCTGGAGTTTACTTCAATATTTTTTATTAAACTTT